CATACATACTCATACATGTCACATACATCATGAAGTTATATATATACATATACATACATATATATATATATATATATATATATATATATATATATATATATATATATATATATGTGAGTGAGTAAGTGAGCGTTGTTTAACGTCGCACTCAGCAATATTCCAGCTATATGACGGCGGTCTGTCAATAACCGAGTCTGGACCAGCATGGGCATCGATCTACACCTTTGGGATACGATGACATGTGTCAACCAAGTCAACGAGCCTGCCCACCCAATCCCGGTAGTCGCCTCTTACGACAAGCATGGGTTACTGAAGATCAATTCTAACCCGGATCTTCACAGGGACGTGAGGTTACGTGAGAATGATATATATCATGAGAAATATAGATCACATAAAAATTATATTTATGTGTATCAATGATAATTATGTTTAGTTGGTAACCTCATGTACATGGGACATTTCGCAGTACGTGTGTTATCCATAATCTTTTAATAACACACGTACTGCGAAATAAAATAAATATAAACAAAACCGATTTTAAAATATACATTAAAGGCTTTTGGCCCACATATATTTATCAATTACGCCGTAGTTTATTTCACAAATATATGTGTACCTGTGAACAGGTAAAATGAACCCTTTCACATTTACGGTCGGTGAATTCATCATGATATTATCGTGGTTTAAAAGCCATAATTGGCATTTATAAATATTTCGAATTGTTTCAAGTCCGTATGTGACATTTGTTCAGAAGCCCAGTGCAGCATTAAGTCATAATGCACTGAATGGGCGTGTCAATCCTCGCTTGAGCAACTTTTGACAGGCTTTAGTTATTGAGAAGAGGACGGTTGACTCAGTTGACCTTCATTCCGCTGTGCAGTTTACGTATACGCCCTTCACGATGTTAACAAAAGAAAGATCCATGTTAATTCTTGTAATACTCCAAGAAACCTTTTGATCAGTTTAAATAATATGTTCAACTGTATATCTTAAACAATACCAGTATATAAATCTAAACAGAAAAGCTTGAATAGAAGCCTACCTAACCTTGAGATAGGTCTCTTACCTCCAACAGGGCATCTGAATATAATTTCAGACGAAAAAGAAATAAGGTACTTGTTCACAATTTTTACTTTAAGCATCTCAGTGAATATGTCAGTCTTGATTGCGTTCGTTTAAACATGACATTGACGTGGCCGAACATGTTGCATAGCAACCAGTAAATCTCCCTCATGACACTGGGATAATGCCTCATTTGCATATTTGACATATATACACATCTTGATAAGTATCGCAACACCCCGTATTTTTCATAGTATTAATATTTTACCTGTAACCATAGCAAAGGAACTTAACCAAACCTTAAATTGTCTAGCTAAGTTGACCCTCAAGAAATAAAATGACAAACCGTTCAAAACAGAAGGAATAACGGTAGTTTATTAATAGAAGCAAACATGGCAAAAAGTGAACCCATTTTGTTGATAACTATGACGTTACGTGCTAGCACTTTTCAGATTCTGACATAAATTCCTCATAAAATCACTGAAATATCAACAACCGAGCCCAATGTCAATATCGAGTGTAACCTCCGCCAACTGCGACAACATCCCTGATCCTCCTCCTCATTGACGGTGTCAGACGTTGAGTTTGACCTTGAGATGTTGCGTTCCATTCTACATGGATCGCGTGGCCCAGTACTTTATAGCTTTGTAATGGAGGATCTCTCTGGCATATTCTGAGACCAATAATGTCCCGATATAAGACTCATATATAATACCCATAATATAACATACCTATAATATAACATACCTATAATATAACAGAACCCGGTACTTTACGAACACTTCCGTAAAAGGGTCTGATTCTCAGCTAGGTCACTTGAGATTGATTTTTGTGAAAATTGTATACTGGGCTCAGACATATGTTACTAAATCTCGTTCCTATGATAAATCCACCGCAAACAGTGAGACATATCATTACTATCTACCATGCTTTGAGTGCTTTTATTCTGATCCTTGTTTACGTATGTGTAACTGGAAACATATGTTACTGCATTGCACTTCAAGAACAACTGGCATATGTATTTGAATGAACTAAATAGCACCGTAGCTAGATCGAGTACAGTCTAAACAAGGCGGGCTGATTATAAACTGACAAAAAAGTACACACCTGGTTTTGGTGATTATTTTAAATAAAAACAACACAACAACAACAAATACCCACACACAAAAAACTAAAATGAAAAAAAAAATACAAAAATACAAACAAACAAAAAACACGACATTACCATTAAAAAAACAACAACACGTAAATATTTAATGACTTGTATCACAAACGCTTTATAAGTATTTCTTTATTTCAAGATGGCCGAATACCGGGCAACAATCCTCTCCATCAGGGCGCGGGGACATGCAAACATACAAAGTTTAACCAACCGATTCACATATACCTGCTTTGGGTTGGAGACGAGTTGTATGTGGTATACCAAGGTTCCACTTACAATGTGTAACATAGATTATGCTACATACTTACACGTGGTCGCTGAAAGCGCGTTACGATGGGCCTTGTTAATCCGAAACCTCTTAAAACCGGACAATTACTGTTGGAAACATATACAATTACAGACACATTACTTTTTCCAATCTATTTAGTATCTGGAAAGGTGATAATCTCTAGGACTGCACACGGATTAGTTGGGAACGGATTAATGAGGTCTCTTTTATAGCGTTGCAATGCATACATGAAGAGAGGACGACTTACCCGGAACAGCATCTTGCCTATTCATACAACGTTTATACGTGTTTATACTAAGTCTTGTTTAAACGATAAGTGAGTGAGTTTAGGTTTAACGCGACTTTTTTCAATATTCCAGCAACAGCGGGTAAACCAGAAATGGGCTTAACACATTGTACCCATGTGGGGAATCGAACCCGGGTCTTCGGCGTGACGAGCGAACGCTTTAACAACTAAGCTACTCACCTTCCTAATACGCATCGGACACACTTGTAACGTTTTAACGTTAAGGCTATAAATATCGATAGAGATAAGATCGAAACAGACAGTAACCACACAATTACCATTCATAGTCGCTGGAATTTCACCCCTTGTGCTCATATTCCAAATTTACGCGATCTATGAACTCAATAGAGAATCTGTTCAACGTTGTTTTTCTTTTTGAAAGTGGCATTCCCTTGATAATACTTGGGGAAATATGCGATATCATAAAGACATAGTTTCTACATTTATTTTGTTTCCACGAACGGATCTATTTTTATTCTCGTAGATATTATCAGCTAAGCGCCCATGAGGTTTATTCTCCACATGTATTCTTACGCCTTTTCTAATCACCCAAACACGAAACTTTCTTGACAATTTAAAAGCATCGGAAATAAACAATGTTAATTGATGTCCTTGAAAATGAAGACTATGTCCTGATGTAATATACATGCATCTGATCACCATATTGCCCCCAGAGGTTCATACCACATTGCATAAACACGCTATTCCGTGGTACCCCCTGTTGATGGAGACCAGTTTGTCCTGCATATAGTAAATTATTGATGCAGATAGCCGGACAATATCATCTACATCCTCATCAGTATATCATCCATCCTGTATGAGGAGCGAAAACAGCTGCTGCCGAAAGGTACAATATATTCTGCATGTTTAACTCCACGAAAACCCGTGAAGATCCGGGTTAGAATAACGGGATCGGGTGGTAAGGCTCGCTGACTTGGCTGACACATGTCATCGTATCCCAATTGCGTAGATGGCGTTTATCAGTGGATTGTCTGGTCCAGACTCGATGATTTTAAGACCGCAGCCATTAGTGTCTCGTTAATCAACAAACAAACAAACAAACAAAACTAAACTCCATGAGTGAGTGAGTGAGTTTAGTTTTACGCCACACTCAGCAATATCCCAGCTATATGGCGGCGGTCTGTAAATAATCGAGTCTGGACCAGACAATCCAGTGATCAACAGCATGAGCATCGATCTGCGCAATTGGGAACAAACTCCATGAAGTGACCATAGGTGACCAATAGCCAGCAACTTGCTGAACAGATTTGCGTCCCTTAGATGGCCGGATCCGCTAATCCTGTACACAAAACGTCGTATTAGTATGTTCATGACGTCGTAACAAATAGGATTTTTAACAAATGCATTTAAACATCGTGTTTATACAAATGCAGTATCTGCTGAAATCTATACTCCTTTGTGAACCATGCAATAGGACCATGACCATCAATAAAGCTCGATCCTATATTCATAGTAATCTATGTAATATTCAAACCGGAGTGAATGCACTTAATAGCATCTGTATTTACGATTCTATTAGTTGAAAAAGCGAGCAGACAAAGACTTTAAGAATGCAATCCGTATATACATAATGCACCTGTTATAAAAAACGTGAATGTGTTTCTATTGTTCATGAGCAGCAGTGTGCATCGTGTACAAAAAATATTCTCAATCAGTTTTCCCTTTTTTGACTAACTCAAGATGTACAGATTAATGCACAACGAATGCTAGTGTTATACCGAACCGATTGACTGTTGTCGTATGTTTACGTTTGGAAGATAAAACTGCCTTGGTCTGTGTATCTGTGTGGGGGTTGGGATCGGACGTCTGTGGGAGATTGTGGAAGTCCGACCACTCGTAATTCTACGCAAAATGTGTAATCAGATCCGCCACTCGTACCGGCGATGATAAATCGTGGCATTTCCTCCATTCGCATCGTACGATCACACGGGCGGTGGGGTAGCCTAGTGGTTAAAGCGTTCGCTCTCCACGCCGAAGGCCCGGGTTCGATTCCCCACATGGGGACAATATGTGAAGGCCATTTCTAGTGTCCCCCGCCGTGATATTGCTGGAATATTGCTAAAAGCGGCGTAAAACCAGATTCACTCACTCGTACGATCATTTATGATAAGAATCATTTACATAGAGTTTCTAATAAAAGAAATATACGTGTTACCAACGTGAATCTATCAAACTTACAGGTATTTCGTTCACGACAGAGAAATGGGAAAGAGGAAAACAACCTTATAGTAAAACCAGTCGTTAACGAGTCGGACTCTGCAACAATTCTGCACAAGCTCGCTTCAATACTTCCCAATCCCCCGATGCTAGTACCAGCGCTATCACATACCATTCCTCTGAATCCAGAAGCTATTGTGCTATAACGCTTCTGGTTTTTCTCGTTGGACCTGCTACCATTGATTGCCGAGCACACACAGCATAGAAACAGCCTCGACTGCCACTCGCCGTGTTCGAGATATACAGTATGTCACTGTTGAGGGATGTCAGTGATGAGATGACGCTTTGTAGGATTCTGGGACTGGAGAAGTTTTTTAGGATCCTAGGATGATCGTTAAGGTAAGACAGGTTTTAATTCATGTTGATTAGTTCAATTGTTGACGTATACATCACTGGGAATGTTTCCGGTGAACAGCTGGTGGAATGAACGTTGATACAATGCATTGGAAGTGTTGAGGGAAGGGAATAACTTCGTGGATAGAAGAAACTGAAACTGAATTGATCCAGCGATGCGAGATGTACTATATATCATGTTATATCTTGTTATAACATGTTTGGGTATGTGTGAATATAATATAATTATAATTGTGGTTGATTAATAATGGAGATGAAAGAACAATTCGCGTAAATATTACTGAATATATAAGGCAAGTATATGAATGGCAACTTCTTATTTATTGTATAACACAACGTTTCTGGACCCCTTCTTCAGGTGATTGCTTCTCTAAATGCTAAATTCTAAATAGCCTCTCAAGAATCTCATTTTGGATATGTATACCGACATGCAGGTATGATACCCGTGAAGGTCCGGGTTAGAATGAGCCTTCAGTAACCCATGCTTGTCGTAAGAGGAAGCTAACGTTTCGGGTGGTCAGGCTCGCTGACTTAGTTGACACATGTCATCGGTTCCTAATTGCGCAGATCGATGCTCATGCTGTTGATCCCTAGATTGTCTGTTCCAGACTCGATTATTTACAGACCGCCGCCATATAGCTGAAATATTGCTGAGTGTGGCGTAAAACTAAACTACTCACTCACATGCAGGTATGTGTGCCTGCGCGCGTGCGTGCGTTTGCATGCATGCACATGTGCGTGCGGTTGCTTTTGCTAGTCTGGAGAAATGATGTTTTTGATATTTCTGAACCGCATAAATACACGCCGCATGTTAACACAATACCCAACTCAGTAACCTGAGTCAGTTACTCCAAGTCGGCCAGTCTAATGTTTTGCCACTTTACTACCAAGCGTCAGGTAGGGTACAGACAAGGACCATTTTATCCCATATTTCGGTACGACACCCACCAACCGTACGACAGGACAAACGCTCTGTCCCCGCGGTCGATTAACAATGAAACCCGGACAAAAGCTATTCATAGAAAATATAGAATATAATAAACATTCTATCTGTTATGCAAGGATAGTTCTGAATACAAGTTAGGTTTTATTAGTTCACATAGAATATCGATAAACATGGTTTGAGTATAAGGTTGTATGACATACGTACATGCATACGTCACTGTTGGTATTTCGCCCTATAACAAGGATACGTCGTCGACCATATCACAATGAGATGTTTGAGTGTATGAGTTTACCGCCTCCTCAATCCTCCCCCGGACTGCTCCTGTCTCGAGTAGGTGTTGGCGGTCTTTCATGTGAACATGTACATCGTCCACAGGATGAATTGTCCATCAGCAGCAGTAGGTGCCCGTGGGCAGTGCGGCAAAATTAGGTTCAAACTACCTATTCTGGTCGTGAGAGGTGTGGTGGGGTATCCTAGTGGTTAAAGCGTTCGTCGTGACGCTGAAGGCCCGGGTTCCATTAGGTGTGAGTAGGGGGGGAATGGGGGGAGGTGAAATTGGATTTAACGTCGTGCTTGAGAATATTTCGCTCATATGACGACGTGCATGCGTGTGTATGTGTATGTACTAGCCCAGACTTAAGCTGGTTTTATAGTGCTAGCCCACTGAGATACCATGCCGCAGTGAAGCATGAATACCCCACTCAGACACATTATACTGACACCGAGGCGACCAGTCCTTGTTGTACCCATTAATGCCGAGCGCCAGGCAGGGACTAACAAGTACAATATTTTAACGTCTTTTGGTATGACTCGGCCGGGGATCGAACCCGCGACCCTCCGCTCTCCGGGCGGACGCTCTAACCACTACACCACGGAGGCGGTCAGGAAGGGGGACATCGGTGACTCGGTTGATTGCGTGTGATCTACCCCGTGTTGATCGTTGTTCTATATATCAGTCACTGGGTTGTCTGGTCCTGCTTCGATTATTTACAGGCCGCCATTTGGCTTGGAGGGCGGCAACAAACAAGCGTGATTACGACGTTAAACAACAAACAAACAAACAAGCGTGAAAGTAACAGTGCCGGAATAAAATTCTTTATGCTGATTGAAATACCAGTTTAATGTGAGACAGTGTGACTTTGTTAAATTCACATAAACAATATTGTAACCATCCGTAGCTGACGTGCTTAGTTTATGTACGTGCACAAGCAAAATAGCAAAGGATTATGGCAAAAGTAGTTCCCTTTGTAGACATCTGTCACTGGTGAAGCTCTGTGTATCTCTGCGCGACCGAGTTCCTCTGATATTATTCCCCGTTATGCTCGTTAGTTTGTACACCGTGTATTAAGATATGTTTTATGTAGTAAGTGAGTGAGTGAGTGAGCGAGTGAGTATAGTTTTACGCCGCTTTTAGCAATATTCCAGCAACATTGCTGCGGGGACATGAGTCCATTTCTGGCCATTTCTGGTGTCCCCCGTAGTGATATTGCTGGAATATTGCTAAAAGCGGCGTAGAACCATACTCACTCACTCATTGTACCCGTGTGGCAAGTGGGGAAACGAACCCGGGTCTTCGGCGATACGAGCGAACGCCTTACCTCTAGGCTACCCTACAGCCCCTAATGAGTGAGTGAGTAAGTGAATTTAGTTTTACCCCGTATTGTAAGTGACACATTTTTACCCATGTGGGGAATCGAACCCGGGGTTTCTGCGTGACGAGCAACGCTGAACCTCTAGACTACCCCACCGCCCCTAGTGAGTGAGTGAATGAGTGAGTGAATTCAGTTTTACGCCGTATTGTAAGTGACAGCCCAAGGGATACTCCAACCTTGTATTGATACAAGGTGTTTGTGAACAGAAGAGAATCCTGTTGATACCCAACAAAGATGCATACTCAAATTTCCCCTGCAGTTTTCTATGTAGAGTTTAGTCCCTTAGGCGTGGCAGGATCTTGTGTTGGTTAAAACCCAATTCTGCAATGGTTATGCTTGTGGGGTCGTCGGCGTGGGTTTCAGCAAAACGATAACCATGCAAGAAAGTTTGTTCAAACTTGCCTACCCAGGGAGAAAATGGGTACCCGCTATTAACTTTCTAGCGCCTCACATGCAACTTAGGATATGATAATCAGGGCCCTTAACTTTGATCATAGCCAATGGGGGCGGTGGGGTAGCCTAGTGGTTAAGGCGTTCGCTCGTCGCACCGAAGACCCGGGTTCGATTCCCCACATGGGTGCAAAGTGTTAAGCCCATTTCTGGTGTCCCCCGCCGAGATATTGTTGGAATATTGCTAAAAGCGGCGTAAAACCAAACTCACTCACTCACTGACGTAGCCAATGTGTAGAGAATGGGCTTAAGACGTTCACAGGGCTACGAACGTTTCGAGAATAGCTAGCCAGATCGTGATTTCAGGACCGTTGAGCATCGTATGGTGGAAACTAGGTTCTATACATTATCATTATTGTTATATTATCACTATGCCGGAATGACCCGCCGTATTATATAAAGTACCTATGGATCTAAAACTCACGTGGTCTAAATGCAGTTAAGGTGATAATAAACAGTATATACGACATAATTATGTATACCATTATTACTGCAAACGACCGACTGTTTTGAACATTATATTCCTGTCGGTGAATGTTTGTGCTTTAGTTCTACCCGTGATGGGGTTTGAGTAAGACTTTACAATGATGGCCTCCTTAGTTTAGACATGTGATCGGCTATAGTGAGTGAGTGTATGATTTTACTTCGCTTTTAGCAATATTCCAGCAATATCACGGCGGGGGACACCAGAAATGGACTTCACACATTGTACCCATGTGGGGAATCGAACCCGGGTCTTCGGCGTGACGAGCGAACGCTTCAACCATTAGGCTACCCCACCGCTCTGATCGACTATAAGACTGGTACCTGCTCTGACATATATAATTACGCTCAACGTATTAATGGTTTTGTCGATTTTATTTCCATCAATATATTTCATGCATTTTTGTTGTCTTTTATTGTTATTTAATTGGTAAATTGCAACATTTGATTTTTACCAGTAACATTGATGTGATGTTTTTCTTTCAATGATGATATGAGTGGGTAAAATATTGCTCACTCTCGTAAATAGGAAGTTTTGATTGCAGCACATCTAATGGATGTTTCAACAATTATTTATCTGTATTGATTTGTCTTAGTGTTGTTTGACTCTGCTCATAATCAGCATCAATATAAACAAATAACATGTGTCAACCAAGTCAAGGGGTGGTGGGGTAGCCTGGTGGTTAAAGCGTTCGCTCGTCACGCCGAAGGCCAGGGTTCGATTCCCCACATGGGTACAATGTGTGAAGCCCATTTCTGGAGTCCTCCGCCGTGATATTGCTGGAATATTGTGAAACTAAACTCACTCACTCGACTAATTCAGTGAACATGACCACCCGATCCCATTAATAGCCTCTTGCGACAAGCATGGGTTACTGAAAAGCATATGTAGCAGGATCTTCGATGGAATATTTGCACTGCGTATGGTAAATGGGTAGGCTAGTGGTTGAAACGATCGTTCATGCATGGGTGGGGCGGTGGGGTAGCCAAATGGTTAAAGCGTTGGCTCGTCACGCCGAAGACCCGGGTTCGAATTCCCACATTGGGTACAATGTGTGAAGCCCATTTCTGGTGTCCTCCGCCGTGATGTTGCTGGAATATTGCTAAAAGCGGCGTAAAACCAAACTCAGTCAGTCAGTCATGCATGGGTTGCTGAAGACTAATTCTAACCCGGATCTTCTACCGGTTCTCACCTGGTTTAACTGGTCCACTGCCGGTATAAAAGTAGGAAGCTGCTTCTGAAGTTCTGGGAACAAACACCCACATTCGATGCGGAGTTTCCAAGGGAGGTAATCCTTCCGGTGTCCTGCAATTGCCGTTTATACTCCAAGAGCAAATGTAGCGATAGCATCAAAATCAGGTAATATGATTCACCCGCTCTGACCACACATACTGCATACCTTGACCGTGCTGAACACCAGTGCTTGTCACCGTCCATTATACCATATGGTTCA